GAGAGAGAAGGTGCCAGGGTCTTTTTAAGCAATGAGCTCCCGTGGGAACTAACAGAGCAAAAACTCACTCATTAATCCCCCCTTGCCCAGGGAGAGCATTAATCCATTCATGAGGGATCTGCCCCCATGACTCAATCAGTTTCCAACACTGCCACATTGGAGATCAAATTTCCACATGAGTTTTGGAGGGGAGAACACATCCAAACTCCATCAATGTGTAATTCTAAATGTTAAAGTAAAGCCTTCTGTACAAATTAGAAAAAACCTAAATGTCCAACAACAGGGGAATGGTTAAAAAACTATGCAAATTTACTCAATGGATCATTATGCAGCCACAATTCCACTTACACATAAAGTTTATAACATGAAAAGAAAAACTCCATTTGTTATAATGTTAAATGAAATGGCAAAGTACGAAGACATAATATTCAAGAAATGACTACACAAAAAGTATCATTAACTTAGAAATATATATTTTCACATACATACACACATGTACAAGAGAAAGAGAGAGCGAGGAAGACAGAAGCAGAGAGATACTATTCACCAAAAGTTTTTGTACTGGTGAACCTTTAAAACTTGACTTTACTATATACTCTCCAAATTTCTACATATAATGAAACGTATTTCAAAATATATTACTTTTATAGTGAAGTAGAAGACAATGAATGTCATGTAGAGATACACTGTAGTCTGGGATCATTTAGTGCAGAAGCAAACATCCCTAAATATAGCTCTTTGGGTCCTAGTAGTATCACTGCATTAAAGTAGTGCAAAATTCTTACCTGTTATTCTACATTCACAATAATCTAAAGTTAAATTATAGACAGTATACTCTGTTGATTAACAAGGAAAGGTACAATAGGTTGTAAAAAGATCTGTATCAAAACAGTACCGACACAATATTTCACTGATAAATATAAACAAATCTTCCTAATATAGTTGTATTACATCACTGCCCTGCCACCAAACCCTGAAAGGATCCCCAGTGTCAGGAGTAATTTGAACGATGGTGTGCACGCATTGCACAATCTGGTCCTATTCTACTGACTTCTCCCCACTCTCACCCATGGGCTCAAAGGCTCTCATTCACAAACCTTATGCTCTGGCTTTATGCTCTGGCTGGCCTACTCAATTTCTCTCAAAGAAACTTCATGTACATGCCTGAGCTTTTGCTCACTCAGCCACCCCCACCTTGATTTCCCTATTCACCCCTACTTCTCCCCAGCTGACTCTGCGTCCTTCCAGGCACAGAGCAAATTCTTCAACCCACACGCCATCTCCCTCCTAAATGTATATATCCCTTCTGTATTCCTACAGAAGTTATCATCTATAAAACACACCGAACACTTAACAATATAGTGTAAAATTATGTAAATAAATATATGCATTATCTCCAGAACGCATTTTAATTTCTAAAGGAACTTTACTATATTTCTTTGTATTATACACTTTTATATAATGCTTTGCAGCTTACAAAGCAAGTAACTTCATATATATTATTCTCAATAATATGTTGGTTACTTGAAAGAGAAGCCTTCAGTAATGTCCAGAAAGCTTCTCATTCAGAAAGCTTAACCCCAACAGATGTGGGATAAGGATACTTTTCCTCCCTACAGCCCTCAAATAGTAACACTATTTGAGGTAATAGTGAGTAATGGTGGAAAAAAGTTCAATATTTCATAATAAAAACCAACAACTTACACCCAGTGCCCAGATCTGGGTTTCTAAACACCATTCTCCAATAAAAGGAATCAGGCTCCTTGAAGAAATGGCTCATTCAAGGGCTGGAGCAGGGACAATACAAAATGAGCCCTGAGCATCTTGCAGTTTAAAGGGATCAAAGGGATACTGGAGCCAACCTGAAAAAGCTCCCAGTGGCCAAAGCTGGAATAACTAAATAACAAAATATATAATAGTATTGAATTGAGTCCATATAGATATAAATAAATCATTGAACAAATACATAAATGGGAAGAAACAAATCTTCTTTACCGAAGAATTACAAATAATATATATAGATACTCTTCCCTCCAGGTAGTGGAACCTAATCCCCGCTCCCTTTCAGTAAGGGCTGGACTTACTTCCAAAAAATAGCCTATGGGAAAGAAAAAAGAGCAACTTCCCAGTAGAGAAAGCTGGCAGACACCACCTTAACCAAGGGATGAAGGCTAACATCACCAGTGTACCCCCAAGACGATGTGATGAGAAGGGCACCTCACCTCTCTGTTCTTCTCTCCAAAGCCTGTTACCCCAGTGTAATCATAAGAAAAACATCAGACAAATCCAGACTGAGGGACATTCTACAACATACCTAATACACACGCCTTCAAACTGTCAAGGTCATGAAAAACAAGGGGAAGCCGGAGAAACTGTCACAAACCAGAGAAGACTAAGGTGAAACGACAACTTAATGCAATGTGGTATTCTGGACTTAATCCTGGAGCAGAAAAAGGATATTAACAGAAAAACTACAGTTAATAGTAACATACCAATGTTGATTTCTCAGTTTGGACAAACATATCACAGTAATGTAAAGTAACGTAATGTGTAACATTGGGGAAACTGAAATTGGGTGAGGGATATAGGAGAACTCTCTTGTAACTTTACAGACTTTTCTGTAGATCTAAAATTATTCCAAAATTAAGAGCTTATTAAAAAGAAATCTAAGAGATCCAGATCAAATAATACATAGAAGCTTCTTATATCAAAAAATCAAAAGTTTGCTATAGTTTTCAATACTGTCAGCCCAGAGGCTTTCTAATTTGTAGCCAATTTCCTTTTCCTGCATCAGCAAAGGCCTCCTATACCAACAAGTAGTACCCTCATTCCAACTGGCCATTGTACTAAGTTCTTCAGGTGAAAAGATTAAGAGGGAAAAAAATTCTGAACTTAGTAAAACAATATAAAGTTTATACGAATGCCTATGAATAAAGGCATTTCAAAGTTTTGAAATCTAATTCATTTTATCAGATATTTAAGTCTCAGGATAAAAAAATGTTTTTAAAGTAAAAATACATTCAAGACCCTTAAAAAACAAACCTTGCCAGTTCTGGATATTATAAAGAGCTTTAAAAAAGTTCTACATTAAAAAAAAAAACAAAAAAAAACACCTTAGTTGTTTGATGCAAGTGATTTATAAACTGGCTAATACGTGAATAAAAGGAGGCAATATTAAGATTTATACCAAGACACTTTAGTATTTAATACTATTTAATATTAATTAACTTTAGATCTAATATTAAATTAATATTTAAACTAAGACTGTCTTTGATAAACCAGGGCATATGGTCACCCTAGCTATAGACCTCATTCTGATTACACTATTACATTGTTATAGAGGAAATATTATGATGGCATACTTCCTGGCAATTAAAATTTTAGTGAAATAAAGTCCAAAAATGCAAGTCTCATCCTATAATAAAGAAGGTAATGATAAGGTGAGGTACTTATTTGGTCTACAAAAACCTAAGCCATTATTAACATAACAAATATAGAAAATGTGATGCTGTGTACATAAAAGATGATTAGGCAGTAATATGATATTTTAACATAATTACTTCACACTAAAGATATGCCCATATGAATATAAATAAATTAAAGTCTGTATGTGAGGATTTTAAATTTGGAGCCATACTACATACAAAGAATTTAAGCTAAAGAATGGCTGTTCATTAAAAAGAAAAAAAAAGTAACTCAGTAAACAGCTTACCAAAAGAACTTCTAAAATAATAAAGATTTTCAGTTTAACATGCCAATCCACAATTAATAATGACAAGTTAAACTTTTATTAATAAAACATCTATTTCCCAGTCAAGTAGAAAGATGTTTTATTAAGTCTTTACAATGGAAGCTCTTAAGATTTTCCTGAAGCTTTTACAATAGATAAAAGTAGGCTAGCCTGAACTACTTCAGAGTGTAAAGTCACAGTAAACACAACCCCCTAGTGTTGATCCTTATTGCTATACACTCTAAATATATCTCTGACCAAAACCAAACCAAACCTCCCCCCACCCCTCCAAAACCCTAGAAATTTACTGCAAATGAATCAATTCAGACTGAGTAGTTTAAATATGGTATTTCATTTATAGTTTGGACTGTGGTCAATCACTGTATTGTAGAAAAAGGCCTTCACATTAACCACATTTAAAGATAGATACTGTATATTCCATATATTAATTGAAATGAAAAACAGGGGCTTTTAAATTTCTGGATTTTTTCTTTTTGTAAAATAGTAACGTTGGTAAATTCTATCTTATTCATGCTACATCTCAGATTTGAATTAAGATGTGCTTAATTACCTATATAGTATCTTTAATATAAAAACAAAAGCAACTCAAATTTTAGTCAATGTCATCAAGGACTTAATCATCCAGTTCAATTAACTGACAAGCATTTTTGTTCTTGTCAATAGCCAATTACTTCCCCTTCCAATAACTTACATTTATTCTATACATTAAGGTTTCGGAATGACGAACTTTTTCCATTCATTCTTAGGAAGTATTCTTCAGATCCAAAATAGACAAAGGCTGAAGGGAAAATGATGAGAAATGAAAGGAATCTCCTGCCACCCTTAGAACTACTGAGCTGTACTCAAGAGACAACTCTAAATTCAGAAAGAAGAAAAAAAAAGGAAAGAGGCAATATAAAAACCTCTGAAAATGTAGAAGAAATTAGACTAGTTTAGCTTTAACATCTTTTTTAATAAGACATTACAGCATACAACTGAGCCCCCAGTGTGTCAGTTAAACATGGGGATGTATATCCATATGAAGAGAATGGAAACAAGTTTAATCTTAAACCCCATTCCTTTTGGCAACTAACGGAAATACAGAATACAATCGGACCAATTCTCTAATCTTTGAAGACACCAAAACAGTTTTATAGCAAGGTTTGTTGTGCTCTGTTAAAGAATCTTCAAATTAAATAACAAGGACATTTAAGACTTGGAATTTTCTCCTTATAGCAGATTTAACTCAAACACAATAAAAAGGGGATTGTACTAAAAAATCCCCACATGAAGAATTAATGTCTTATGCAAGATCAATTCAGCTATTTCCCTATCACTGAGATATAGAGTTAAATATGGTGCCTTCAGCTGCTTATAAAAAAAGGGTTAAATACAAGGACAAAAAACTTTTATTCTGAATTACAGTTAATAAAACAAACAAACAAAAAAATTAAACCAAAACTTGTGAATGGTTTTTAAATGATCTGTTACTAAACATAAACATACATATGCTCAAAGCACTTTCAAAAACTTTTGTAATTTAACCAGAACTTCTGTAACACTCAGAAGAAATCAGGTAAAATTTTAATGTTCTGGTAACCAACATATTAGGAAACAACAGATATTAAATCTGATACTTAGGATATTAAATACATGAAACAAAAGGATGATATTTTAAAGTATGGGTATAAGAATAGGAGTTGCTAAGAAACTGTCAGCACTGAAGCTTTTCCTTGGAAATATTTTAAATGTACAGTGAAGACAAACAAGGTGGGTAGAATATGCAGAGCTACAAAACAAATGCAGTGATGTGTTACAGCAGAAAGAGGAAATGCATTTTATAAATCCATAGGATCAGATATGTGGCTCTAAGCAGTTACCAGTAAATATTTTAGTGTTCTTCCTATTATGTTAATTTTAAAATTTTAGTTGAATTACAGCAGTTTCATTTGTACAATAGTTAACAACAGCAAATTAGAAGAACCCTAAAATTAGTCTTCCTTAATTGAGTAGGATTTACCTTATCCACATGGACAAACCTATTTCCCCATCCTTACATCCAAAAGAATGTGAATGTTGGCCTATTTTAACACTTCTCTAGTTCTGATGGAAGTCATATTGTACACACAGTCTTTGATTTTAGGAATCAACACAAAGTAAACTCCTAAAATCAACAACTCATTTAGAACAGAAAGGAGGGAGAGGGTTCTGGGAATTAACCGAACCACAAGTCATTCCCATCTTCGTGTTAATGCAAAAATCCATTCATAAAACTGGCCAAATAGTTAATAACTTCCAAAACCTCCTTCAAGAATTATTTCTCAATTTCAAATTAAAGAACATGAAGAATTTTCAAAGAATCCAATATAATTTATAAAATATAGATCTTTACCAGTTCACATTTGTTTCATCATATTTTGTATTAAACAATAGGCTTAATAATTAATTCATTACAGCATATACTTAAGAACCTAATCTTTCAGAAGGGCTCACTGTCAATCTAACTGCATTTAGGATTTATCAGTTATCTGTAGGGCACACCTAGCTGGCAGCTAGAGCCAGGTCATACAGCAAGTTAAAATATTCCAATTTCAAACACAGGAAATGACCAGAGAGGGGTAATGACACATAATTCCAATATACTAAGGCAGCAGATAAGTCATTCTTCATATAGATCATCAGCTGCCAATAAAATCTTGTGTGCAATTTTAATGAATGAGTCTGCTCTAGTTTAACCAACCTGCCACTGAGCTGAGAAAGGGAGAAAAGAATTACACTTGCAATTCTAGCTGATGAATTCATTACATTTTTATAAGGCAAATAATGTGGAAAGTTAGAACAGAATTTCTAGAATCATTTATCCTGTGATGTTGTAAAATCAAAGTACTACTTTATTAAATGAGTTATTTTACACAATATGAACATCAATATAATTACAATTGTAAAAAAATTTTATAACAAGGATGGACTGATTTTCAGATTTCCAAATCAGAGTCAACTGTACATTTACACAGAATTGTCTTTGCATGAAGCCCAAAAGGGAACAGCATAAAAATGAATGTTTCTGTAGCCCCTTTATTTTTGCTGATCAACAGTTTGTTAGAAAAGCAGCTGCAGGTTCGTTACCTAAGGTCTGAGACAGTAGAAGAGCCAAAGGTGTCATGAATTCACCTATAAAACATAAGCAAAATTTTCAGTGAATGTAACCATTGCACAATGCAACTTACATGCATTTCAAATGTCTTGGAAGGAAGACTATCAAGTTAGTCTCTGATAGATTTGTCAACTGGATTTTATAAACAGATCTTTGATGACTTTACATTAAAAAGAAATAATTCTCAAACACACACACACACATGCACAACATACCCTCTCCACCATGCAGAGGAAAAAACCCAACCACACAGAAAGTGTGAACTAATGATTTTCACTCAATTACCAACTTTATACAGCATATGCCTACGTTTTGTCCTGTGTTTCAATACTTAGAAACTCTAAGGACTTCAAGGAAAATAACTAAAAAGGTGCTCAGGAACACTGGTCTGCATCATTTCTGGGACAGAGATGCTCATATACCTTTGTAAAAACTATTTTCATTAAGCTGATAAGTCTCTTCCATTCTTGGACCAGAGTTGGCCAGCATCCAACTCATCCCCCCATTTTTGGCTAAAGTAGTAAAAACTTGGATGTTTCAAAGTCATTGAAAGGACTGAGAAAAAGGACTTTTAACAATTGTAAAGTGTTCTAGTAAATTGTAAGCAACAATTGCTAAGTTCTAGTAATGAAATTAAGTTAAACATTAACTTAAAAAGGAGAAGCAATAAAGTCTCAGAACTAAAGCAGAAATTAATTTCACAATTACAGAAAATAGTTTTGTTCTTGCATGAAACCCTGAAATTAACAAACCAACAGAAAAAGAGGTCAATTACCTGTAAACAACTTTATGCCTGAACATCAGCCAATTCTGGAGGAAGTGGAGTCTTAGGATGCTTGCTCTCAAAGTGCTGTTTGAAGGTCTTAGGGTCTGGCATTTGTGTCTAATTAAAAAATTGTGGGAAAAAAAATGATCTAGACCTTATTTCTGAAATAAAAATGTGTTGCCTTTTAAAATCCTGAACCTGCTCCTGATAGACAATTATCACAAAACACTTTTGAATTCCTACAATGTAGTGGCTGGCATATGAAGACGAAATTCCTAACATTCCCACATTTCACATGTGAAGAAGGGGAAGGTCATATAGAATGTATTCGGCTGATCTGATTAACAATAGCAAACAATAGGTAACATTTATTGAACCCTTACTAGGTTAAGCATGTTACCTTAATTCTCATAGAAGCTTCACAGTAATCGTTAGCTCCATCATCCTCATTTTACATGAGGAAACTAAAACTCAGAGTTTAATTTTTCTAAAACATATGTTTTAATCTAGTACTTGGTACTTCAGCTCTCAAATACTACACTATACTGACTTCCCTCAGCACAGACCTTCAGTTATTTATTCTTCAACATAACCAATTACACAGAACATGAAATAAAAACTTTTGATTTTGTTTTGGGTTTTTAAATATGTGAACTACTCCAGTTCTTTTAGGTAAAGGTTTCTTCATCACAAATTTAGTGAAATTTATTTTCACTCTGCCTCTTTCCAAATAGAGTCAGAATCTGCTCAATTTAATTATTTTGAGTGTATCAAAGCTCAAAATGTTTAATGTAATAGATTCCTTCTCTTAGATTGAGAATTTTTGTATATTTAGGAACTTCTATTTCACTGGTAATGACTTTAACAGATGATAAATTTCAATCCAGGAATCATGTCTTATCAAGATCACTTCCTATCCATGCCATCAATCCTACCAAGGTATGGGGCCTTGAAAATTATACCTATGTATATGTATCGGACCTCGCCATTGTGCTTTTTTCCTCTTATACTTCCATCCACCAACTTCAAGGGCAGTGAGCTTAAACAAACAGGCAAGAAAGAGACTCTGACTTGGAATTTCAGAACCACTTTTTTGAGAGGCAGTGTAGTATAGTAGTCCAGAGGGTGGACTCTGAAGCCTGACTGCCTGGGTTCAGGTCCCAGCTCTTCTACTTACTAGCTGGGTGATGCCACACAGTTTAATTCCCATGACTCAGTTTACTTTTCTGTAAAATGAGAATAATATAATTACTTTGTCTCAGAGGGTTGTTGTGTGGACTAAATGGGTAAATACAGGTAAAGCACCTGGATCACTGCCTGGCACACAGTAAACACTCAACAGTAACTGTTGTTACTACTTTTCTTCAAATCTAATAAAACACATGAATTCTAGTAAAAGCCCTCAACATGAATATACACTACACAGTTTTACAGACATTCTAACTATGGATTTAGTGAAGGGGGGGGGGACCAATTTATAATCAGAGGTGTATTTGCTAGCATCTTGCTCTAAACTAAGAATGTAGATCTGTCTTTCTTACAAAGTTCACAATATATTGTATGCCCTTATGAAGATGTCTTTATTCTCCATAAAGAGAGGGCCTTTGCTTTGTTCATTCCTTTTCCCCAGCACTTAGAGAATTGTGCCTGGCCCAATATTTGTTGAATGGGTGAATGAAGATGGATTCCTAAAATAACCAGCTCTCAAATCTCCTATTTCAAGTAAAGCTTGAACTACTCTAGTTCTTTTAGGTAAAGGTTTTCTTCATCACTAATTTAGTGAAATTTATTTTGTCATGGTTTCATAATTTTACCTATACAAACCAATTTATAATGAAAGAATTGCCCATGGGAAAGCTGTCTTTCAATTCTCCTTACCCTACAGACAGTGCAGGTATATATTAAGGCAGCTTTGGCAGCAGCCTTTTGGTCATGTCCTTGTTTCTTCTTTTGTCCAGCTTGCTTTTTGGCATTTTTCTGTTGAGATTGGATCTTCTGCTGTCCACGAGCCATATCTAAAAGCAGAAGTTGAGGCATTTGAGTGATTTATTTTACTCTAATACAGAGTAATCTAAGCATAGTAATGTTGTCATAGATGAAGCCTTAATTTTAAAGAAACATTTGGCAATCAAAACATATGGGTTTTCAAATTCTCACACACAAGGCTACTATAGGATAAACTGGTACAACTCCTGTAGAAAACTGGTTGGTAGTTGTCTACTCTATGATGGAGTAATTCCACTCTTGGTATATATCCACCAGAAATGCAAATGTTTGTACAATAAAAGATGTACAAGAATTCAAAGTACCTGATCCAAAACTGGAAACAATACAAATGCCCATCAATAGTAAAATGGATACATAGCTTGTTCAATTGAATACTATACAGCATTTTAAAAGGAGAAATTGTTGTTACAAGAAACATGTTGTATCTCCATGCTAAAGAAAAATGAAGTTCTAAAGAAGCAAAGCTAATCTACAGTGAAAGGGGTCACCTTGGGGGTTATAGGCTAATGACAGGCAAGAGACAGCAAGAGAGGGATTTATGAGGTGTTGACAATGTTCTATACCTTGAACCAAGTAATGGTTACACAGGTGTGTTTACTTGTAAAAATTCATTGAGTTGTACACCTAAGATTTGTGTGCTTTACTGTATGTAATTTTCAAATGTTTACAAAAATAAGTTTAGTTCTCCCCACTCCCCCATCACTGATTTGATCAATTTGCAAAGGTATATTCTCCTGCCAGTATTCATTGTTGTGACCTGGGATTGTTACAATTTAAAGAGAAATAAGAGCTTTCCCTAATCCTTCTAAAGGAGACCATGGGAATAGGTAAGGTAGAAACTGCTGTCTTAAATACTTAGGTTTCATAAAACTACTGTGTTATTCTAAATTTTCCTTAAAAGTTGGTCTTTGTTGGATTGCGGCACAAATTATATAATAAGATTAAATTAGTTCCTAGTTGAGAGAATGAACTTGAGAGCAGATAGTTCATCTTGATAGGAGAATCTTCACAAAATTGAAAGACTACTTTTTACTACCGATGGTCTGAACCTTAATGGGTGCACAAATTATATAATAAGATTAAATTAGTTCCTAGTTGAGAGAATGAACTTGAGAGCAGATAGTTCATCTTGACAGGAGAATCTTCACAAAATTGAAAGACTACTTTTTACTACCGATGGTCTGAACCTTAATGGGTTAAAAACAGCCATGTCAAAAAGTTACTTTTACATTTCCATTAAAATTAAAAACTTCTATTAGACAATACAAGTTAAACCTGTTCCCAAAGGGTCTAGGTTTCAACTGCTTTTTAAATATATTAAAATTGAATTCTAAGTAGAATTCCTATGTATAGTTTTGATGAGCACTGTAATTAAAATTTAAACGTTTAAAATCATTGCGGGACACAAACATACAAGGGATCTACACTAACTTCACCAGGAAAGAGTACAAACTTTTTCTCACTAGAACCCTAATTAGTTAGTGAATATGAGGTCAAAGAATTTCATAGAAACAACTGAGCTCTCCTCCCCCCAGAGAAAACTGAAAAAATAAATACCCTGATTGGATAAGTTCACAATGGTATTAAACACTGAACTGAAAGTAAGATAAAATATAGAAGAGGACCAATTCTTTTCTAGGAAGCCAGCTGAATATTTTACCAATTACGAAAGTGTTTAGTACGGTAGCCTAACATTAGAACTCCATTCCCACCAAACAATGGTAAATATTACTAGCTGTGTTAGTCCTTGAAGACTAAGCTTCCATTTTCGTTTTTTAAAACCCAATCCTTATTAATTCTAACCCAAATGGCATGATTTTTTTTTTTTTTTTAAGAATATTTAAGCCCAAATGTTATGGCAAGCTTACCTATTCCTATGGAAACAGATTTGGATACTTATACATTATTTGAATGACAGTACTCAAGTGTTCAATTTTTATGTATACCACTGTTTTATAACATTCTTAATGTCTCAATGTCTTAGTATCCGGGCCTCATGTTAGAATACTTCAGTCTACTCATGCATCTTAACTCTTCCACACAGTATATCCTATGTATGTTAATACACCGATCTTGTGGGTTATCTCTTGTTTTACATTAAAAACAAACAAACAAACAAAAAACCCCATAAAATGACAGACCACTATTTCCAGAAGTTTCTTTGCTATCTAGAAATTATTAGTTATTTTGATGACATTGCCATGCAGTGATCTGTACCAAGTAATGTCATTAAAACAGACAAAAATCATTATTAACTTTTGCATTTAGGACTTCTAAAATATAACATTACGCAATAGATTTGACCTATTTTCCACTGTCATCTAACAACAGCAACAAAAAAAAGCCATAAGAGCTTTACTAAATAAAAAGCAGTAGTCCCTTGTTCGCATTTTTAAGACGGAAAACTTAACCCCAGAGAAAGGAAATTGAATCAAACAGGCTAAATACACCGGGTAGGCCCCTGACTTCTGACAACACACTACATTGACTTCCTTTCTGAAAGTAGAAACGCAAACGAACAAACCACATGCTTTTGGACAGCTCAACGTAAGACGTGCTCTTAAGCCAATAAATTTTTCTACAAAATCTTAAGCATAACGGCTCCTTGATTAAATGCGACAAACTGAAGAGCAGAAGTAATTTACAAATACCCACATGCCGGTTTTTAATGTAACTCTTAGTGCGGTTTTTCGAGAGGGCTGTAAAGAGGGAAGTAGTAGAACGAATGAGTTCTTACGAGAAGCTCTCTCGCAGGAGGCAACAAGTAAGCACTGTCCCAAAGATCTTTTTAAAACCAAAACTGAGTGAAAGAAAAGGATTTGGGGTTCGGGAAATGAGCTCATCCTCCAAAACCAAGCGAAAGGAAGAGGCCCAGGCACTGCTCAACATGCGGATCCCAGTTCTTTACTACATCTTTTTCGGGAGAGGAGCGAATGAAAGCCCCAGGAAAAAGGTCCACTTCCCCCAACACTTCACTGGCCGGCCCCAGCCCCAGCCTGGCGCACCTTCCTTCCCAAACCAGCCTCTCCCGCCTCGGAGAGCCCCCTCCTCCTCCTGCCACCAAAGGCCACACAGCCCCCTCCTACCCGCCAGTCCTCACGGACCCTGGCCCGAGACGTGCCTCCTGGAGGCCTCTGCTGCCCGAAACCCAGCGCCTTCGGCCACGGGGAGCCCCGGCTTCGAGCTACCGACCAGCTGCTGTCGCCAGGGGGTAAGGTTACCGCTCCGCTCCCGAGGCCGGCCTGCGACCCGGCCACCTGCAGGGCCTGGCAGGCGCCCGGGCTTCCCCCCTTCCCGCGGCGCGCGCCTCTCTAGGGTTTCATTGATCCCAGATTAAAACTATTGATTTTGAAAGATCGAGCTTCTAGATGGGCTGATTATTCTGCCAGCACACCCCAGTCAGTCTACTTGCTTTTCAAGAAACCTTTAGACTTCAGTCAGAATGTCCTCCCTGGCATAATTCCATACCTTAGATTGTCTTAAAAAATTAACCAGTGTCGGGCCAGCCCGGTGGCGCACTGCTACAGTGCGCTGCTTGCGAGTGTGGCGGCGCTCCTGCCGAGGGTTCGGATCCCACATACAGACCGGTTCCCGCTCACTGGCTGAGCGAGGCGCGGGCGCAGCACCGAGGGTTGCGATCCCGTTGCCGGTCCCGGTCCAGTAGGGCGCGACGCTGAGGGTTGCGATCCGTTGCCGGACATGAAAAAAGACAAAAAGGAAAAAAAAAATTAACCAGTGTCACCATTACAACAATTGTCTTGACAGAGTTCAATATACACACACACACATACCCCAATATGCATCTGTTATTTTGTTCCTTAATAATACCATGTATTGAGTGCCTATTCCATGCCAGACACATGAAATATGTCATCTTTGTTTTTCTTAACTGCCTTGCCAGGTAGGTATTATTATTGCCATTTCCTAGATTCCCCCACAAACCATAGGGCAAGGCTGAGTCAGGAGTACTTTATATCTCGTATAACTTCGTATAATGTATGCTATACGAAGTTATTACGGCTCTCTTTCCGGTCGCGTGGGCCAATGGCAGCGCGCCCCTATTACATAAGCGCGAGGGGGCGGGGCCTGGCGGACAGGAACTGCTGGGGACGTCGGCTCCTGTCCCCGCACGCGTCTCCTCTCCAGCGTGCTCTTTCTGGGCGGCTTCTCCCCTCTGCCCTAGGAGCCGCGTGATCTTGGTTCTGGCGGGTAACCTGGTCGCAGTGTATTACACAAGTCGCTTGCTCACTCGGGCGGCGGCCTGGCCTCGGCCCCAGCGTCCTTCTCACGCGCCTCCCGGGCTGGAGGTCCCGTCTCAGCGGCGCACTCCTGCGTACTGGCTGAGAGGCGCCGGCCCGCGGAGGGGCCCGGAAAGGAGCGCTGGGATTGCCGTCACAGGGGTCTCCGCCCCGGCAGACCCCCACCTGTGCCCACCCGCTGCTCCCATCCCCCAGTGAGGCCGGGGACCGGGTGGCCCTGAACAGGGACGCGCAGCCTTTGTTCTGTCACTAACTAACCTTTATCTTACTCCCACGGAAACCCAGGCTATTTTACCAACGTGGGGTTTTTATTTTTGTTTTGTTTTCTAAGGTCCTCCTGAGCCCATAAACTGTCCCTTCATTTCCCACCGTCTCCCCTCAGGGTATTGGTTGGTGACAGATAAACCACATTTTCCTTATCCACTCATCCGATGATGGACATATAGGCTGGTTCCAACTCTTGGCTATTGTAAATAGTGCTGCAATAAACATGGGAGTACAGGTATCCCTTCAGCATGATGATTTCCATTCCTCTGGGTATATACCCAGCAGTGGAATAGCTGAGTCATATGGTAGATCTATCTAATTGTTTGAGGAACCTCCAGTCCTTCCATAAAGGCTCCACCATTTTGCAGTCCTACCAGCAGTGAAGGAGTGTTCCTTTTTCTTCACAACCTCACCAGCATTTATCGTTCTCATCAGTCTTAGGGATATTAGCCATCCTAACTGGAGTGAGATGGTATCTCATAGTGGTTTTGATTTGCATTTCCCAAATGCTGAGTGATGTTGAGCATTTCAACGTGGGGTTTTTAATGAGTTCAAGATTCAAGCCTGGTCAAGGGTTTGGATCCCCAAACCTGCCAGCCCCACCCCCCCTCCACAAAATTTAAGCCTGACCACTCCAGTAGAAATTGTTGGCCAGGTTTACCTGACTGGGTTAGGCTGACCACTAAATATATACTAATCTTCTACTATTTGGGGGAATGGTTAAAGTTCACTTTTTTCTCTCGTAATTTACAGGTAACTGCAGCAAATTTCCGATGTCTGATCAAGAATGATGGTGAGTGTAACGATTATTACAACTGATATCTGGAAACAGCATTTTAGACAGCAGCTTTATTCTGTATCCTTACACCCTTCCCCCCCAACCACATTGGTTTATAATTAGATATATTGATGACCCCCCCCCAGAAAAAATGAAGCTTTTGCATTTAATGTTCTCACCTTGGCCATAGCCTCCAGTTTAAATTTGCCTATCAGTGCCCAGGAAATGTTAGTTAAATATGAATATATCCCAAATTACCTGGACTGGGATAGAGATACAACAGAATTTTTAAAACTAGCCAGGAGGCAGTTAGCTGCCTATTACATTTGAGTCAGATAAAATACAAATGGTGGGAGCAGTGATCAGGGCCTACAGTCCTTTTTCTTCATTGTCATTTCAGCTCCTCTCACCTTCACTTTTCACACTCCCTTCCTTACTGCAGTTTAAATTACATTTAAATTTTATTAGCATCTCTCCGGTACTACATTGTAAGCTTGTTTTCAACAACATATACCCAGTGACTAGCAGTCTGTTAAACACAGTATGTGCTGAATAAATATATATTGATCAAATGAACTGAGTGTGTCCAAAGAGAGCAGGTTTTTAAATTGACATGAAGTTATGGCTTAATCATTAATTGTCACCATAGCCATAATAGTTGTATTAATCTGGCTGATTGGGGGATGAGGTACTTGTAGGACCTAGAGACCAGGAAATCTAGAGTTGTCTGTGTTTGTCTAGCTATAAAAGTGGATAGTGAAATCTGGCTGGCAGAGATAAGTCTTCTTAACTAGAGGTGACTTCTGTTGCAAAGTAGGATTAATATGTCACTCTTTATCATGGCCTAGATGAAATATCTGTTAAAGCCAGTGTTTCTTAAGTTTTTGACCCATACCTCCTTTGAGAATTGGGCAAAAGCTAGGGACTTTGCCCCCAGGAAGTTCGTATACATATAAACTTAGCCCAGAGGTAGAATTTCTCAACCTCAGCACCACTGATATTTGGGCTGGATGATTCTTTGTTTTGGAGGTCTGTCTTGGGAATTGTAGGATGTTCAGCAACATCCCTATCTTCTATCTGCTTGGTGCCAGTAGCACCTCATCTCCAGTTGTGACAACTAAAAATATCTCCAGACATTGTCAGATGTTCCCTAGGAGTCAAAATCTCCCCTTGTTGAGAACCACTGCCTTGAGGATATGGTATAATGGTAACTTTATGTGATGGTTAGGACATTTGAAATATGAAAAAAAAAACTGAAAAAAGAAATTGATAAGATTCAACATCTGTGAAGTGACAAACAGTAAAGGAAAGGCAGATGAATTAGCATTACTACCAGCTGGTGTCCTACTTATGTTATAGAAATGTGACAGCAAATGGGATATGAACTCCTTAGAAGGACTTTTATACACATTTCTGGTTTCAATTGTGAATGCTACTGTATTTCTACTGCCTGTTTTTCCTCTTATGCCTTTAGACAATTACTCTATGTTAATATGCAGTAAGCATGTTTGTTTACTACCCGAAATATAAATCAGATTAAAATGCTTCTCAGAAGACTTGAAAGGCTTATTTCCTTATTTGTATTCAAGTAGGATTTTCAGGGATGAAAGAGCTGGTAATAATCAATATATTATTTCCCAAATAAACAGATTATTCTGAATGATTGTTCTCAATTTATCTGTGGTATGCAAGTTAATATCTAAGTGTAATAAAGCGCTCAGCTCAGAGGTTAATTAGAGAACAAAAGAGACAAGGTCCTGGCCCTGTAGGGACTTCTGTCTGTTAACAAACAATAACAGCAATAATGACAAAAATAAACTCAAAACAAATGTTTCCTTTGCTGGCTCCTCCTCTCCTATTCAGTTTCTACTTGTTGAGATTTCTCAGGACTGCAACCTGGATCCTCTTGTCTTCTCAACATTCTTTCCCTGAAGGAATCTCATTCACTGTTGTGACTTTAAATAACGAACTTCAGATGACACTCACATTTCTATCTCTAGTTCAAACATCTCTTCTGAACTCCAAATATGGCATAGTGCTAAGATACCCTGACTGTAAGATACACTTGATTTCAGACAGATTAAAATAGGTTTAAAAAATAATGTGATTTCTTAGAATAGCACCAAAAATAATAAAATACTTAGGAATAAACTTACCAAGAGAAATGAAAAACATGTTCTGAACACTAAACAACATTGTTGAAATAAGTTAAAGAAGATCTAAATAAATGGAAAGGCATCCCATGTTCATGAACCAGAAGATTTAATATTGTAAGGACAGCCCTAATTTCCAAATTGTTCTACAGATTCAATGCAACCCCTATCAAAATCCCAGCTGGCATCTTTGCATTTATCAATAAACTTATTCTAAAATTTATATGGAAATTCAAGGAACCCAGAATAGCCAAAACCATCTTGAAAAGAACAAAGTTAGAAGACTCACACTTCCCAATTTCAAAACTTACTACAAAGCTACAGTAATTAAGACAGTGTGATACTGGTGTAAGAATGTTACTGAACCCAAGTCCAGCTGCCAGCCACCAAAACAGAAACAACTGACCCAAAAGTAAAATTGATGGTGAAATAGGAAGTCAGATTTATTCAGGAATACTAGTAACCCAAGGGAGATGTTAGGCTAACCCATCTTCCTGGTAAACCTGAAGGAGTGGCCAGACTAAAACTATCTCAAAGACTCAGATTTACTGAGGGGTTTTTAAGGAGGAGGTTGAGGGAATGGAAAGGAGGATGGGGAGATGTGAGCTTCAGGGGCTACATGTAAGGGACCAGGTGCAAATTCTTGTCAAGGCTCCTGTTTGGCTTCTGTTCTCGTTCTTGATTTATCTTAGTGTACTTCCGGATTTTGATTTGCTTCAGGGTGGAATCAGCATAGCTTTATTGATGTCTTCCTTGGTTTCTCAGGATCTG